GGGGGGGGGGGGGGTCTCGGTAGAGACTGTCGACAAAGGGGCCAACTTTGAGGGCCATGAGCATGGAGTGCAGGGCGACTTCGGGGTTTAAGTTCCGGATCCTCACCGAGATGTTGGAGAAGCGCTCCATGAAGGTTCGCAGAGGTTCGTCATCATTCTGCCTGAGGTTGGCCAAAGTAGTGGAGGTTGTGTGGTGAGGTCGGCTGGTGGCGTATTGTGCCGTGAACCGCCGGATTAAGGTGCTAAAGCTGTCGATGGATTCGGCGGGTAACTGGGTGTACCAGTGGAGTGTGGCTCCTTTGAGCGAGGTAGGAAAAACCCTACACAGGATAGCATCACTATTAGTGTAGAGGTTTACCTGGGTCGTGTACAGGTCAATGTGCTCATCAGGGTCTGTCGTGTCGTCATAGCGGTCGAGATGGAGAGGCTTCCATCCACGGGGAATGGGGTCTCCATGATGCCGTCCACAAAAGGATGTCGGTGGAAGGTTTCGTGGCCTTCTGTGGCACGTGTGGATGCTCTGCTGACGTCTGGGCCCGGCTTGTGCGTCGATGCATGAGATCAGTGTGTGGCGAGTTGTGAAGTCGGTGCCCTAGTCGCAGTCCGGGATTGAGAGGCCGAGTGTGCCTCGTCTTCATGGATGTTGCTCCCATGAGGAGGGCGATCAGAGGGGTGTCGAGGGAGTTGGGCGCGAATGCGCTCGTTTTCTTCACGTAACGCTGCGAGGTCTGCTTCATTGGCTGTCCGTATTGCCGCTAGGTCGGCTTCGTGCGTGGCGCGCATGTTGCGCAGGTCAGTGTTATGCTGCTGTCGCATCTGTTCGACTTGGTCGATCAGTCTTCTCAAGGTTGCAGCGTCGCTGTCCATGGTGATTGAGTGTTCAGCGCAATGTACGACTTGGTTTATGCTCAGATGGGTTTAATCCATTCATTCAATTAACAACTCCACCTTATTCTTGTTGGCCGATAATTGTAACCCCATACAATCTTCCCCCTGAAATGTGCATGACAAAACCATTTATGTTTTTAACTTGTCTTATACCTGGTCCATGGAATCCAAAGGCAGCTATTGATGTGTGTCCAAACGTATGACATTTCAAAGAAGCAAAATTTTATGATGAAGGCAACATTAATGTGGACTATTAATGACTTCCCTGCATATGGCATGTTGTCTGGTTGGGGAACTCAAGGTAAATTGGCATGTCCACATTGCATGGAGCATTCTAAAGCCTTTACATTAGAGAGTGGCGTTAAAAATTGTTGGTTTGACTCACACCGAAGGTTTTTACCCACCAGTCATGCATTCAGGAAGAACAGAAAAACGTTTATAAAAGGCAAGGTTGAAACTAATGCGCCACCACCTACATTGACACCGGATCAAGTTTGGCAAAGAGTTAGGAATTTACCTTTAGTAATAGAAAATCCTAGCTTGCCTAGGTTACAAGGATACAAATCAGTTATGATTCACTTAAATACCGAGCTGATGTCGCGTGGTGCGTGTCCGAGGTCGGCTTACGTTATGGTACCGAGCTCGGAGCTCGGTTACGCAGTACAGATAGTACATTAATTATTTTTTTTAACTTTAATTGCTTCTAAATGAAGGAAAAGAAGTAAGAAAACATGAAATCTTGAAACCCTTCATTGAGTCATATCTAACAAATTATGAGAAACAATCTTAATTCGTGAAGGGAAGTCTTGAGTTAATCTTCGCTTAGTTGGTTAACTCGGATGGAACAACGATTAAGTAGTTGACAGAGAAATCTCATTGTGAACCAAGGATAAGAGAGTTATAATCCGAACAAGGAGTCAATCTGTTTTACTTGCTGTGTTACCTTACGTTTTATTGTGTTTTAACCTTGATTATGAACAAAACTCCCCCCTTCGTATTGAACCTTTGACAGAGACAAATGGTCCTTGGGAGACGACCTAGGAAAGCTTCCTAGTATTACATTTAACTATTTTTATTTGACCGGGTATGGCCTCGATCACTTATTCCCAAGTTAGATGATTTGTTGGATGAATTTCATGGTGCTTGCATATTTTCTAAAATTGATTTGAAATGTGGGTACTATCAAATTAGGATAAGGGAAGGGGATGAATGGAAAACTGCCTTGAAAACTAAGTATGGTTTATATGAGTGGATGTTGTATACGTTTTCTTAATTCGTTAAGGGAAGTCTTGAGTTAATCTTCACTTAGTTGGTTAACTTAGATGGAATAACGATTAAGTGGTTGACAGAGTAATCTCATTGTGAACCAAGGATAAGAGAGTTATAATCCGAACAAGGATTCAATTTGTTTTACTTGCTATGTTACCTTACGTTTTATTGTGTTTTCACCTTGATTCTGAACAAAAATCCCCCCTTCGTGTTGAACCTTTGACAGAGACAAATGGTCCTTGGGAGACGACCTAGGAAAGCTTCCTACTATTACATTTAACTATTTTTATTTGACCGGGTATGGCCTCGATCACTTATTCCCAAGTTAGATGATTAGTTGGATGAATTTCATGCTGCTTTCATATTTTCTAAAATTTATTTGAAATGTGGGTACTATCAAATTAGGATAAGGGAAGGGGATGAATGGAAAAATGCCTTGAAAACTAAGTATGGTTTATATGAGTGGCCGGTGATGCCCTTTGGGTTAACAAATGTCCTAAGCACCTTCATGAGATTGATGAACCATGTTTTAAGGGAATTTTTAGGCAAGTTTATTGTGGTGTGTTTTTATGATATTCTGATTCATAGCACTGACTTTGACTTGCATATTAAACACTTGAGTACTATCATGAATGTGCTTGGAGAAGAAATTTTTTTTTGCTAATCTTGAAAAATGTACCTTTTACACTTATCATGTTGTATTTTTGGGATTTGTTGTGAGTTCTAAATGAGTACAGGTGGATGAGGAAAAGATTGGGGCCATCCAAGAGTGGTCTACACCTAAAACTATGAGTAAAGTGAGGACCTTCCATGGATTAGCTAGTTTCTATAAGAAGTTTATTAGGGACTTTAGTACCTTGGCTACACCTTTTAACAAGATAGTTAAAAGCATATTGGATTTAAATAGGGTGAAAAACAAGAAAAGGCAATTTTTGAGCTTAAGCATAAACTAACTAATGCCCCTATTCTTGCATTACCAAATTTTGCAAAATCTTTTGAAATTGAATGTGCTAATGTAGGTATTGGGGATTTTTTGATGCAAAAAAGTCATCCAATTGCTTATTTTAGTGAGAAATTAAATGGCCCTACCTTAAACTATTTCACTTATGATAAGGAATTGTATGCCTTATTGTGTGCTTTAAAAACTTGGCAGCATTATATCTTTTTGCTAAAGGAATTTGCCATTCACAATGATCATGAGTCCCTCAAATACATAAAAGAGACAAGGCAAGCTAAACAAAAGGCATGTCAAATGGGTTGAGTTCCTAGAATAGTTTCTGTACTATCCGTACTGCGAAGCCGAGGTCCCAGCTCGGTATCACAGCGCAAGACGACCTCGGACATGCGCTATGTGACGTCAGCTCGTCGCCCAAATAGGTCATAACTGATCTCGGGCCCAAGGCCCAGTAAAACCCTAATTCATACTAAGGTACGTGCATTATTTATACGAGACTAATACTCCCACAAACACTAACTTTAGCATCGGAGTCTCTTTTGCAGGTACCACCCCCATCTTGGAGCATCAAGCGTACCAGCGAAGGAGGCTCACCGATCTTACCTGGCGGATCAGCTCTACAGCAGATTTTGCACAAAAGGATGTCGGCGGAAGGTTTCGTGGCCTTCTGTGGCACGTGTGGGTGCTCTGCTGGCGTCTGGACCCGGCTTGTGCGTCGATGCACGAGATCGATGCGTGGCGGGTCGTGAAGTCGGTGCCTTAGTCGCAGTCCGGGATTGAGAGGCCGAGTGTGCCTCGTCTTCGTGGATATTGCTCTTGTGAGGAGAGTGATCGGAGGGGCGTCGAGGGAGTTGGGCGCGAATGCGCTCGTTTTCGGCGCGTAATGCCGCTAGGTCCGCTTCATTGGTGGCTCTCATCGCCGCTAGGTCGGTTTCGTGCTGGGCACGCATATTGCGCAGGTCAGCGTCGTGCTATTGCCGCATCTGTTCGACCTAGTCGATCAGCCTCCTCAAGGTCGCAGCGTCGCTGTCCATTGTGATTGAGTTTTCTGCGTTGTCTGTTGCGCGTCTACTATGGCTTCTGGTGAAGACCATACAGGTGGCCGATAAGAGTTGTCTTGATCGCCCCCACGGTGGGCGCCAAATGTTCTTACCGGAAATCTGCTGTAGAGCTGATCCGCCAGGTAAGATCGGTGAGCCTCCTTCACTGGTACGCTGATGCTCCAACATGGGGGTGGTACCTGCAAAAGAGACTTCGATGCTAAAGTTAGTGTTTGTGTGAATACTAGTCTCGTATAAGTAATGCACGTACCTTAGTGTGAATTAGGGTTGTCTTGGGCCTTGGGCCTGTGATAAGATATAATGTGATCAGATAAGGGATATCGTCTGGGGCGAGATCCTCGGGAATCAGTTATGATTCACTTAAATACCGAGCTGATGTCGCGTGGTGCGTGTCCGAGGTCGGCTTACGTTATGGTACCGAGCTCGGAGCTCGGTTACGCAGTACAGATAGTACATTAATTATTTTTTTTAACTTTAATTGCTTCTAAATGAAGGAAAAGAAGTAAGAAAACATGAAATCTTGAAACCCTTCATTGAGTCATATCTAACAAATTATGAGAAACAATCCCACAAACTGAAATCCCTGCACCCATGCCTCACCAAACAGAAGTTACTACGAGCACACCTCCCCAAACCCAAAATTCTAGAACCATACCTCCTAACACCCAAATTGCTACACCCCCATTACCCCAAACCCAAAATGCTGAACCCACATGCTCCCAAAAACAAAATCAGTTACCTTCTTCTAGAGCTTCACATTGTGAACCTAGTAGCAATGCATCACCAATGTCAGTACCCTCCAGACTTTTTGAAATTCCTACTGGAGATGAAGAGCAAGTGCCCAACAATGATACATCACCATTCAAAAATAAAGATCCACCAGCTGGGTCTGTTCTTCCAATGATTGAACCTTGTAATGATGGTTAAAACTTATAATTTTTGCTTTCTAAATCCTATTTTTTCTTCATTGAACAGATTTAATTTTTTTTTCCTCATTAATTAGGTTTTATCCAAGCAGAGTAGCATCTAAGGCAATCACATTGACTATTAAGCAACAATTTATTGAGCCATGGATGACTTGGGGTGTAATGACGGAAGAACAAAAAGATATCTTCTGTCAGCGTTTTAAGGTACATAATTTGTTTATTATCATTCTCTTCTAAAGGGATTACGTTAAATGCACTAAGTTTGTAGTCATCAACAATTTAACTGCTTCCTTATTCTATTAATGCAGAAAAAAGTTTCATGGAAACCTGAACATGAAGAGAAAATAAAAAAAATATTTCACACAAAAACATCTCATAGGCTTTCTGAAATGTTCAAGAAAGCTCGTCAAATAAACAAGAAGCCTGATTGGATGTTTTATACACTTTGGCAGAGTTTGATTGCCCAGTGGATGGCCCCAGAATTTAAAACAAAGAGTATCCAAGCTCAAAAAAATAGAGCATCTGAGCAAGGTGGAAGTCTGCAAACAGGTGGCTCCATCACCCATCACGAGCATGCTATGCGGATGGTAGTTACATTAAACTAATATATTTATTTAATATAATTTTAGAAATATGATGATTAACTATTTATACAATTATAGTCACAAGAGTTGGGTCGGCTTTCACATGTTGATGAGTTGTTCCACCCAACTCATGTACAGAAGTTTACGGGTGATTTTGTTGACCAAAGATCTAAGCGAACATATGTGAGTTATTTTTTTCGTATTATTGCTTTATTCTTTTCAATTTTAATCATCTTTGATAAATGTCACTTCTAAACATCTTTATTTGTGAAATAGGATCAATTTGAGACTATATTTAATCAAGCTAGGTATGAGGCTGCATCTTGTACGGGAGGTTCTGAAACGTCTTCTATGGACCCAGTTCAGGAAGAAAGACTCCGCAATAAGAGTTGGATTATTGCTGCTGGTGGGGTTACAGACAAAAAAAACTTTATGGGGTTGGAAAAGTCACTCCTCCATCGACATTGGTGGATACCTTCACAGATATATCTTCTGCTCGTGCTACTGAAGATTCAGACAAAATTATTCAATTGGAAGAGCAAGTTCGTAAGTCTAGGGAAGAGGCTCGTCAATCTAGGGAACAAAATGAACGCTTGCAACGCTAGTTTCAATCCTAATCACTGTTCAATGTTGTTCTACCTCTCCTACCTTCTGATACACAACATATTTTGCAACAACAAGTGGATCAACAATTTCATGACAACCACGATGACCAACAACCACCACCTACTGGACACTATGGAGATGACTATTAGTTAGATGTTTTTTTTAGATTATGGATCCACAACTATTTAAATATTTTATTATGTATAATTTTATGCAAAAATAGTCTTATTTTACACTATGACATGGAAACTAATTATGCATAATTGCTATGGGTATTTAGATTTTAAAGATGTTTGATTTCATATTGTGGTTATAGGATATTTAAAGAAACCTGAGAAGTGATTTTATTAATATTTCTAACCATGTAAAACTATTTATAAAGATTGGTGTGGAAAGGTAAACAAAACAATTCATGCTATGTTGAAATCAATTATCTACGAAAATTTCCGTAGGTAAGTTACCTATGGAAATTTTCGTAGGTAACTTATCTACAAAAAAAACTCAATTTAGCCACCGAAATTAGCGACCGATTTTTTTCCGTCGCTAATAGCGACATAATTAGCGACCGAATCTGATTTGGTTGCAAATTTTATTTAGCGATCAATTTAGCGACCGAATTTTTAGTGGCAAATAAGCGGTCAATAAATCGGTCGCTAAAATTATAATTGTTGATTAAAATAGCGATGGAACCAGGAGTCCGCCGCCCCTCCTAAGGTTAGGGTTTCAATTCCATTCCCAAATGTCTCTCTATTCTCTTCCTCACTCAATGTTTTTCTACTCCATTCTCTTTCTGGCTTGGCGTGCTCCTTTGCCTTCTTTGTTTTTACTTTCTTGCTCGTGTTGCTCCTATTTTGTTGCATTTTCACATTTTCTTTTCATTTTTGTTTGATTGCATTCCTGTGCTGTTATTGGGATAACGTGTTTATGGAATGAATATGTTGTGCTTTGTTTTCGCCATCCATGTCAGGTGCGTGTAGAGGTGGGTGTGGAAATGTTCCAAAAATATTTGGTTTGATTAGTTTTTTTATTTTTATTTTTTATTATGGTTGTTAATTGTTTGATAAAAGCCATATAATAAAGAAACTAATTTTTGATTAATTTCTTCGTTAGTTTTGTATTAGATAAATAAAAATTAGAGTAAGTTATTTTTTGAGGATTAGCATTAGACTATATAAGTTAGTATAATGAAATAAGTTTAGTTAGACTAATTAATTAGACTGATTATTTAGTGTAGTAATTAATTTGTTTACTCGATTAATTAATTATAGACTAAGTGAGTGAGTGTTAGTTAAGTGGGGCGTTTAAGTGCCATAAACTTTCTTAGTGTTGTGTTAATTCTCATAAAAATATTGAAGGCGCAGATTGTGATACTGTGATGGTTTTCTTTTGTCTTCCTCAAGTGTCATCAAGTTTTGAGGGTATTAGGCACTAAGAAAATTTATATATTAATATACTTTTACAAAATTTTATTTTTACTAACCCTTTAAATGGAGCTCAGGCAACAGTTCTAATAGGAACTGTATCCGCACCAAAACAAAGCACAGGCTTTGATTCTGTAGATTGCAAATTTAGTAAATAAACAATAAAGCATAAACTTATTTTTCAATATAGCTACTTGCTCTAACAACCAAATAGGTAAACATGAGACACACATAAAGTAACAAAATTATTACCCTCGCATTTTGATGAAGAATTTGTACAAAATTTCCACAAAGCCACCTATATAAATATAAAGCAAATTATATTAAAAGTGATATATATTGTGAAAAAAGGGCTTCAGACAACAATATGCTGATATTTTAAAACAACAATGCTATTATGGAAAAAAAATTTGAATGTTTTCTCCCTTTTCCATAACGAAACATTATGGAAAAATATACTTCCTATTTGTTAAAAAGCAAGGTAAACATCAATTTAGAGAAGGTAAAGTACAAATAATTGAACCTTTAGGGAATTATACCATTCCATCATGGCAGCCAGCAAGTAAATAGTCATGAGGCGGCTTAACTGACCACTCCACTGTCAGTGGAATGCTGTGAGATAAAACAATAGAGTAAATTAAATCACATAGCCAGGCTACTTGAAAGCATAAATTAAAAGAAGTATGCTTGTTGAAATCATGCTATCCACTAGTTGGCTTCTACTGGTTAAATTCATGCAGCTGCAAAATGTTATTGAATTTACATGATGCTTTTTAATTTATGCTTTCAAGTAGCCTGGCTATGTGATTTAATTTACTCTATTGTTTTATCTCACAGCATTCCACTGACAGTGGAGTGGTCAGTTAAGCCGCCTCATGACTATTTACTTGCTGGCTGCCATGATGGAATGGTATAATTCCATAAAGGTTCAATTATTTGTACTTTACCTTCTCTAAATTGATGTTTACCTTGCTTTTTAACAAATAGGAAGTATATTTTTCCATAATGTTTCGTTATGGAAAAGGGAGAAAACATTCAAATTTTTTTTCCATAATAGCATTGTTGTTTTAAAATATCAGCATATTGTTGTCTGAAGCCCTTTTTTCACAATATATATCACTTTTAATATAATTTGCTTTATATTTATATAGGTGGCTTTGTGGAAATTTTGTACAAATTCTTCATCAAAATGCCAGGGTAATAATTTTGTTACTTTATGTGTGTCTCATGTTTACCTATTTGGTTGTTAGAGCAGGTAGCTATATTGAAAAATAAGTTTATGCTTTATTGTTTATTTACTAAATTTGCAATCTACAGATTCAAAGCCCGTGCTTTGTTTTGGTGCGGATACAGTTCCTATTAGAACTGTTGCCTGGGCTCCATTTGAAGGGTTAGTAAAAATAAAATTTTGTAAAAGTATATTAATATATAAATTTTCTTAGTGCCTAATACCCTCAAAACTTGATGACACTTGAGGAAGACAAAAGAAAACCATCACAGTATCACAATCTGCGCCTTCAATATTTTTATGAGAATTAACACAACACTAAGAAAGTTTATGGCACTTAAACGCCCCACTTAACTAACACTCACTCACTTAGTCTATAATTAATTAATCGAGTAAACAAATTAATTACTACACTAACTAATCAGTCTAATTAATTAGTCTAACTAAACTTATTTCATTATACTAACTTATATAGTCTAATGCTAATCCTCAAAAAATAACTTACTCTAATTTTTATTTATCTAATACAAAACTAACGAAGAAATTAATCAAAAATTAGTTTCTTTATTATATGGCTTTTATCAAACAATTAACAACCATAATAAAAAATAAAAATAAAAAAACTAATCAAACCAAATGTTTCTGGAACATTTCCACACCCACCTCTACACGCACCTAACATGGATGGCGAAAACAAAGCACAACATATTCACTCCATAAACACGTTCATCCCAATAACAGCACAGGAATGCAATCAAACAAAAATGAAAAGAAAATGTGAAAATGCAAAAAATAGGAGTAATGACCAAATTTGCAACGTCTATAAAATTTAATAAAATAAAATAAAAATCTTTAACGACCGATTTAGCGATCGATTTATTCGGTCACTATTTGGTCCCCATACACTTCAGCGACTAAAATCATTGCAACCATTTTGCGACCGAAATTTTTGGTCGCTAAACCAAAATTTTCAGCGACCGAAAATTTTTGGTCGCTATATAGCTTTGCGACTAGGGTTTTTGCGACTACTTAAATTCGGTCGCTAATTCGGTCGCTAAGGCAACTAGCGACCGATTTTAGCAATTTAGCGATCGATTTTGGTGCTCGCTCAATCCAATTTTTTTTGTAGTGTTAGTGCTCGCCCTTTCAAAGATGTTGGGAAGATCCGACATAAAGTAGTGTCATCATCAGTTGTGCTGAGAGTGACTTGGGTGAGAAAAATGTCCACATGCTCGTCGGGATCAGACATTCTGTCATACTTGTCCAATGGGAGGGACTTCCAGTGGTCGAGGAGGGAGGTTTGCATGATGTTTGGTGTGAATGGGTGTCGGTGTGCCCCGACCGGTGTGGTGTGGATCGGTTAGGCAGGGGTTTGGGCAGCCGAAGCATGATTGCCTAGGGCGATGGCTGAGGTATGAGGGAGAGAGGTGTGGTGTCCGAGTGAGTGGAATGACCCCTGGGTGTGCGTTCGGGTCGGCTCGGAGAGCTTCCATGTGGGGTCTTGGTTCTTCAAGGCAGCATTCTCTTCCCTCAAGGCGGCCATTGCCCGCGCATCTTTTTCTCTCTATTGTTTCATGGCGGCCATCTCCTCCTTTAACGGTCGTACCATCTCCGACAGGTTCGTCTCATCAACCACTTCGACGTGGTCCTCATCAGATCGGTGTTCCTCTTCGGATCGGTGGTCTTCAGTGTTGGTCTTCCTTGTCTTTGCCATAGTGCTATCACTCAGTTTATCTTCTTAAGTCTCTCGGTTTGGCCCCACGGTGGGTGCCAAAATGTACCTGTCTAAGGGCACACTCGTAATCTTCTAGTAACTGGAGGGCCGAACGAGAGCTCCGAACGGTTGCTTCAGAAGGGGGGAGATACCTGCAAAAGGCACTCTAACGCTCAAGTCAAGACAAGCACGATTCTCAAGAGTAATAAATGAACAGTGCATACCTCGTTTTACGTGACCTATTTATACTACCTGTCATGGGCCTTGAACATGGTGGGCCTCTTCTAACACTTACCAAATTAGGTAATACGGTGTTAATCGGTTGATTATGCCTTAATCGTGCATTTGTCCTTGTTAATCATGATCATCGTCCTAATCGTTGCCTGGCCTTCTCGGCCGTTGGCCGAGCCGAGAGGTAAAGGGTTGGAGTTGCCCTTCGTTCTCGGCCTTTTGTCAGGCCGAGGGGCTACTGAAGAGTAGAGCCAGTTATGTTGTCCTAGTGTTGGGTTCTACCGGTCATTGACCGTTCTGAGAGGTGTATGATCGGAGTTACCTGTTGGTTTCGGCCTTTTACCAGGCCGAGACACTGATAAGAAGGTTAACTAATAACACAGCCCTGGCTAAGCCACTGATGGT